TATATATAAATAGACTGAAAAATCAATATTTGCATTATTATATTTTTGTTTTCACTTCAATTGAAATTAAAACAAAGAAGTTATGACAGTTAGAAATAATTATTTGGTTGCAATGCTTTTAAAGTTTAATGAATAGGTAATCGGTAATGTATATGTGGAACCCATAAAAAGAGAATATTTGTCATAATAAATATAAAAAAATCAAATTATGATTGGAATTCATAATAATAAAAAGCCATAAAAATAAACAAAAGATGCTCTAAAGCAGCTTGAAAATGGCTTAATTTTTAAGCCAGAAGAAATAAGGATTCCTCTATTTCAATGGCAACCATTTAATTTGCTAAATGTTTTAGAAAAAAGAGCCAATCCAGAAAAGGCTGCTCGCTCAATAAAGAACTTGCCACCAAGACACAAAAACATTATCAGATTTTTGTTTGCAATTCAACCCACAAAAAAAAAAAAATCAATTAGCATATTTATTTTTGATAGTTCAAATTTTAAAAAATATACGTATTCTCTGAAATTTCTTAGAGATTATTTGGATTGCTATAATTTGAGTGATAAAACTTAAATTATAAATCAACGTACTGGATTCTTTTATTCGTTTTAAAAGAATCTATCTTTATTATTATTTTCCATCTCTTTAATTTTAAGGAGGCGGCGAAAAGTTTGGTTGTAATGGAGAAGGAGACTGGCTGTGAGATGGAGATATCGAGAGTTACAAGTCGATTTTGTTTTAAAGAGATAATGGATAATTTTAGGGTTTAAGACGTTAAAGTTGTCGATTAAAAGAGAATCAGACTTGGGCAACAGTGAAGTCCACGTAGGCGTCCATTTTTTCTATCACCTACTTTGCCAGCGTGGCCAAATCTATTTTTATAATTATTTTTGAAAATATGAAAATATTTGGCCACGACATTTTGCTACAACCATGTAATGTTGGAAACATGGGTCCATGGATGACCTCACTTTAAAATAAGATTCTTTACGTACACATTATTGAGATAGCACCCAATTAATGCACCTATTTTTAAACACTAAATGCATATAAAAGTTTTGCATCGCTTTCAATTTTTATTTTAATTCATTAAAATTTTTAATTTATGAATTAGTATATAATATTATAAAAAAATTTTTAATTTTAAAACTTAAATAGATCTTTTATAAAGTTTGAAATGTTAGTGTATCATAAATGTTTTTGTGAAGAAAATAAAGATATTGAGCCATTTTAAAAATTTCATTATTTTCCTATGCATCTAATTGGTAAATAATTATTAGTTTATTATTATTATTGTTATTATTATAAAAAATTGAAATTTTAATAAAATCATCTTTGATGAAATTTAAAAAATTTCAAATTAAAAGTCGTTATTAACAATAGATGCTTCTTATCTATCTATATATATATAAGTGAGAATAAGGGAAGAATAATGAGATTACCTATAATAACCTTAATGAAATTTTAGAAATTCTAAAATAATCTTATTCATAACTAATTAGAAAATGACATTTTATTATTTCATTGTATATAATTTATAATAATTCTTAAATACATATAAATAATTAAAATTTTCAAAATTTTAAGTTTTATCTTTTTTTCAATTTATTTTTTAATAAATAAATATAATAATGAGACATTTGAAAATTTTTTATTTTTTATTTTTTTCAAATTGAAGTTGTTTTAAATGAATTAGTCGATTGAGACATGGCATTGCATGCAATTGAATCAAGAGCAGAGTTTTATTATAATTGTTTCATTTTAATGGCCAGGATATTTTTTCCACAAAAAAGTCGAAGAGTTTGGTTGCGTGATGACATTTTTCACCATTGACTAATTATAAAGGCTGGCCATTATGATTTTTTTAATCACTCATCGTGTATTTTTTATTCAGTATCTCCAACAATATTTAAAGTGCTATTTTAGTTTATTCTTTTGAATTTTTGATGTTATAGTATCGTACTTTTTATATTTAATAAAAATAAAAGTATTTATTTTATTCTATCTATACTATGTATAAATATGGGAATACAGGAAATAATGAGATTTCTTATCATAGCTTTAATTTAATTTGCAATTTCTAATATATCCTTTTAGTTATAATTTTTATACATTTTAATCGGAGAAAATTGACCATTTATTATTTTGAAGATCCTTTTAGTTATATTTTTTATGCCTTTTAATTGGAGAAAAATAGATTGCATTTATCCTTTTGAATTTTTTCATTAGATTTTTTTTATATTTTAATTGAAGAAAGTATATCCGTGTGTAATCTCTATTTGATCTTGTAACACTATTATCCAATGATTTTTATAATTAATAGGTATTTTTAAAAATCAAAGCAACTAAACCAGGCTAATAGACTTCTCAATAGACCCAAACTTAACCTGAAAAAATTTAGTGAAAAAACCTGAAAGAAATATATAATAATAGATCAAAGAGCACAAATTATATCGTTCCTTCTTGAGAACAGAATAAAAAAAACTAGGTCAACATCGGAATGGAAGAGAATACAAAGCTATAAGCTTAAACCCATATCATAAAAGATTTCACAGCATCAACACCCTTTTTAGCTAAACAATCTGCAAATTGATTGCATTTTCTGCTTACATGCTATTCACTTTGACCAAAGAAGATATTAAAGAATCAAACTTATTAAAGTGAACCCATCGCCGCCAAGGTCATTTATCTATCTAAGAGACGCAACAAATGACATTTTTAGAGTCTGATTCAACAATTAAAGGTAGAGAAAACACAGCTAACCAAGCCAAGAGAAATTTTCAAAATCCCATCAATACCAGTGGGACTTGGTTTCCTCTTGCAGCCCCATCATGATAAAGTTCATGTTCTAGCTAGCACACTTTATATGATAAAACAAAAAATCTCATAAAAAAAAAAAAAATCCCTCTATTCTCAAACATTTGTCATATTTATGGATTTAACAAATACTCTCTCTGGTTCTTAATATATGCAGTTTTAGGAGCTTTTATTTCTAAATAAATGACATTTTATGATTTTAATGCTTCATATATGACCAACAATGATTGAATGATTTTCACTTAAATTATTTAAATGTTTGTAATGAAATTTTTTTAAACTTTTTTACTGGATCTTGAAATAGACATTACAATTTTTATATATTGCATAGAATAGATTATCTTATAAATCTCACATCACAGAAATACGACATTGGTGTCCAATAAGTAATTGACAAAACCTTAATTCACCAACTTGAAAACTTCCATTTTTGATGTTAGAAATTTAGATGAAGTAGATGTACAAAAATTTAGTTGAAAGCCTTAAGCCTTGTTGTTTCCATTAATTGCTCTGCAAGTAATCATTCATATGCTGTAAATTTTTCTTTTTAACAACTTTAAATATAAGGTTAGAATTATTCATTTGTATTAAACTTTTCGCGAATTTATATTTTAATTTTTTATTTTGCTGATAAAATTTACTCAGAGATACAATTTATTTCTATATTTAAATATTGAAAAATTACACTTTTTTTCTTTTCCTTTATTTTAACTTAGCATTTTCTCTATTGAAAAAAACAAATGGGGTAAAAGAGAAGAATAAGAAGAAAGAAAGAAACTTCTCCATGGCCAGAAAACAAAAAGCAGTTAGTGCAAGTTATTGCATGTCAGGATGTGCTTAATATGTATTTTGAATGGCATTTTTCATTGTCGTTATTCAGTGCTAACAAAAATCTATTGCTTTGGTTTAAGAAATGCCAAACATTAAAAGATAAAATTAATAAAATAAAAAAAAAATATAACGCAATTAATAATGTAATGGCAAAATTGCAACTAACTGCAACACAAGGGGCATTGCTTTAGTCACAGTTGGGTGGATATACCATTTGCCTTGCCTTTTAGATATGAAAACATATAAATTTTTTATGGTTGAAAAATAATATTTCAGACATAAAATGATAAATACATATACACACATTACACAGTTTTGTATTGGATGTATTATTTTACTTTTAGTAACAAAACAATAAAAGATTAGTTGGTATAAAAGGAAAAAAAAAAAAAAAGAATTTCCATCGAGTCATGAAAAGAGAAATAAGAACACATTAACTTGAATTAATGGCATTTTAGACAATTCATTTAACCACAGAGCAAAAAAAAAAAAAAAAACTTTAATTTGAAGCAACAGAGACGAGCAGGGAGTCGCATTTTTCTCAGCAGAAAGCAAAGTCCTGAATTTGATATTTTTCTTTCATTTATTTATTTTTTGGGTGTGTCGGAGGTTAGTATTTTAATGGCTGGGGCTTGTCCAACGTAGGCAACTTTTCCAGTTTTGAATTCCAGCATCAGACGAAAAAGTCAGTGACTGACACGTGCAAGTAAACTTCCCTAGAATCAACCGGGAATTGTCCGTTAGGACGAAACAGCCACCGGAATTTCGAATCAGCGAACCAGCTCGAGCAAATTTGAAACTAACGGTGCAGTTACCAAAAGTTGTTTCAAAGCTCTCCCTTTCTCTTCCACGTGTCGGATAAGTCGTTTTCTTTTGCATTCTGGATTGCAATTTGTGTGTTATTGTCGTTAGCTTTTTAGAATAGTTCGTAACTGTCCTGTCAGGTGATCACTGCCCGCATAAAGATCATCTCATTCCCACAACTCCAATTTTATCCTCACATGACAAACGGGAGCGTGTTTTTACAATAGCAGTTTCAGGGGCCCACTCGAGGCTTGCTCACTATTTTATTGGTTTACATTAAACACGCGTTCTCTACAAGCGTGGGCAACGTTTCATAAATGAAGCAAATGAGTTGTAGCCCCGTACAAGCAAAAGGGTATGTTGTGGCTAAGTTAATCACCGTTGATATTTTAAATATTTAAATCTGCCCGTTCATTAGACCATCCAGCGGCGAAAATCTCATGCCAAATATACTGCTGCGGCAACACCTAGGTTTTTCTTTGTTTTAAAAAAATTAATAAAAATAAAATAAAGACCACAGAGAGCTAATAACTAGTTGGAATTTGTAAGCCTTCTCCTTATATTCATCAGAATCATGTCAATCAACCCCTTAAAGAGAAAGAAACTCTCTCTCTCTCATCCTTCATTTCTCCATTAAACTCTTTTATGTCTCATGCGTTTCTCTAAGCACCAACTCTTCTTCTAACTCCCTCCAAAGAGAGAGAAAGAGAGAGTGTGCAACAGAAAAATGGCATCTGGGTTTTCCGGTGGTGGCGCAGATTTCTACTCCGGCATGGCAGGTAGATCCATAACTAGCATGAATCCAAACAACCCCTCTCAACCTGGATACAGAAACCAACTCTCTCAAATTTTTCTAGACCCAACCTCACAGATCGCTCAGCACCGAGCAACCTCTACCAACTTGACGACACAAAGCTTAATCGGCAAAAGAACGCTCGCCGATTTCCAAGCACAACAACACCAACAGCAACTGCAACAGCCAAACCTAAACCCGGCACTAAATGGTCTCCTTCTTAGGTCGGTAAAGCCCAGGATGTATCAACATACCTCCCCAATTTCCACCCTTTCTCCAATAGAATTCTCCACTAACATATCTCCAGAATTACCTCCCTTGTCTCAGCGTTACGGTATGCCTCTTCTTCAACAACTCAGACCTCAGCCCATCAATCTTGGGCCCGGACACACCATTCATTCAGCCAACGTTGCCTCTCATGCTCTACCTTACATGAACACGCTCCAAAATCAAAACAGAGGTGGAGGTTCTATTGCAGGACAAGAATCTAAAAAGAAGATGATGAATCGACTGCAGGAGCTAGAGAAGCAGCTTCTAGATGATAACGAGGAAGAGGAAGGCGATGCGGTTTCGGTGATTACTAACTCTAACAGCGAGTGGTCTGAAACAATACAGAATCTCATCACTTCTTCAAGTCCCAACCCTATTTCCCCATCACCTACTTCGTCATCTTCTTCTTCATCAACATCGGTGACCACTCCTGTCCCCAATTGTTCAAAACAATCGCTATTGGACGCTGCTTCCGCCATTTACGAAGGCAAAATCGACGTTGCCGGTGAGATCCTGACGCGGGTCTCTCAGGTCTCAAACCCGAGAGGAAATTCTGAACATAGATTGATGGAGTACATGTCGATGGCGCTCAAATCGCGGGTTAATTCAGTGGATGCTCCACCGCCAGTGGCTGAGCTATACAGCAAGGAACATCTCGCTTCGACTCAGTTGCTTTACGAACTCTCTCCTTGTTTCAAACTTGGGTTTATGGCTGCTAATCTCGCAATTCTTGAGGTCGCAGTCGACCAACCTAACAGCGGCAACGGGTTTCATGTTATTGATTTCGATATAGGCCAGGGATGCCAGTACATGAATCTGTTGCACGCGCTATCTGAGCGTCTGAATGGGAAGCCCGCCACTGTCAAGATCACGGCTATTGCTGATAATGGAGGGGAAGAGAAAGAGAGGTTGAAGGCGGTTGGTAGTACGCTGAGTCAACTCGCCGAACAGTTTGGGGTGTCTTTACGTTTTAACGTTGTGAGTTGTAAACTCGGTGAGCTGAGTCGCGAGTCATTAGGTTGCGAGCCCGAAGAGCCTTTGGCTGTTAATTTTGGATTCAATTTGTATCGAATGCCTGATGAGAGCGTCTCTACCGAAAATCCCCGAGACGAACTTCTGCGGCGCGTCAAGGGATTGGGGCCGCGCGTGGTAACCCTGGTAGAGCAAGAAATGAATACAAATACGGCGCCGTTCATGGCGCGCGTAAATGAAGCGTGCTCGTACTACGGGGCACTGTTTGACTCAATCGAGTCCACAGTACAGAGGGATAACTCAGAGCGAGTGAAGGTGGAAGAAGGACTGGGTCGGAAACTCGCCAACTCGGTTGCTTGCGAAGGTAGGGACCGCGTGGAAAGATGCGAGGTGTTTGGGAAATGGCGGGCCCGGATGGGAATGGCTGGGTTCGAGTTGAAGCCAATGAGTCAAAGTGTGGCCGAGTCGATGAAAGCGAGACTGAATTCAGGAACCCGGGTGAACCCGGGTTTTACTGTTAAAGAAGAGAATGGTGGGGTTTGTTTCGGTTGGATGGGAAAAACACTCACAGTCGCATCCGCTTGGCGTTAACTTTACTCTCTCTCACTTTCTTTCTCTAATATTATTAATTGTTATACTAGTATTTTTACCTTTTCCTGAGAAAATGGAAAGGCAAAGGAAGGAAAAAAAAAAAAAAAAAAAAGGAAATAATAAAATTGAGTGATTTGAATTAAGAGGAAAAATGGAAAATTCTTTGCGGTGCATTTATTATTTTAATTTTGGTGTAGTTTGTGAGGTGTTTGGTATATGGTAAGTAGCTGACTTGTGATGTGGAAATGGTAATGGGTTTACGCTAATAATAAATTAATATTAACGAACTTTCAAATATTATTATTTTAATTTTTAATTTTGGATTTATTAGGACCACTCTCTTTGTATTGTAAAATTGTAATTTGACATTCACATTCACATGCTTATGTTACAAGATTTTGTTTTCTTTTTGTGCAAGCGATTATGCGTTTGTTACGCACCCAAAACGAGTAAATTGCTACTATATGTTTCATTAGTTGTCTGTTCAGTGTACCTCCATTTCTTTTTTTTTTTCCTATGACTACGTTGTGGGTCTTATGTGTGAATATAAAGAAATCGGAAATTCAATAAAGCAAAATGCATGTTTTTTGTAAATAAAATCAAAGGATTCATTTCTCTTGGCCATTCTTGAGGAGGATGTCTGCGATATTTAAGTTGTTTTTCTCATGTTTTTTATTGTATTTTTTTTTTATGCGGGCGGTGATCTCTCTAGTCATATTCATTTTTGTGAAGTGTTGGCCAGCCAAAAAATGCGGTAGGCTAGCATTTTAATGTTTGTTTATACTCTGAAATGGGTTTCTAATTGTGAAAAAGAATAAAGATTTTTCAATACTAACAATTAGAGCATCCATATCGTGATGGAAATCTGTTTCTTTCTCCACAAATTCCATACTGTGATGATATGTAGGAGTTACTGAGGACAAGAGGATTTGTTGACATTTTGGAATTTTAATTTTTCCAACTTATAATGATTATGGTAATGTTTTTATATCTTAGGACATTAATCTAAAATTGCCAATCTAACCATCTTAATTTTCATAAATAAATTCGAGAAAAAAAATTATATATATTATTTTACCAATTAAAAAATCATTTAGGAAGAATAAAATCACTTATAATAAAAATATTATTATAGTTGACTTTTCCTTTGGTAAAAGTGTGAAGGAAAAGTCAATATAAAAAATGACTCCAAATAATACAACCAAAGCATCTGAATAATATTTTTTTTTCTTTTTTCTTTTTTCATACTTGTCTTTATTCTTAAACTCGAAACCCTTTCTAACTCTTGTATATTTCCAACTTTTGACTTTATCTATAAAATTTAAAAATACAGGTTCCATTTGATAATAAACTAGCATTTAAATAAATAAATATTTGAAATACTATTCACTCCGATGTTTTTAGATAGATTACGCATTCATTTATATTTCTGTTTCGTATTCAAGCTCCTAGCTACCAAATGGAACCTAAAATTAATAATTTAGGAGGAAAGGGATGGATTAGGAATGAATAGCATTGAAGAAGTTTTTACAAACCCTAAAAAAAAGGTATGAGGAGAATGTGAATTGAACGTGTCATCTACCAGTATTAGTACCCTTCATCTGCAAAAATTGCAGTCCCCAATCTGTCAAGTTTCAATTTTCATTTTCTGTTTTGCCACTTATAACTACTCTCAACTCTCAAGATTAGCTATGGAGAAAAATTATTTGCAGAGAGAGGGTAAAGAATCATAAATGCTTAATAATTTGGGAAGGTTTCACAATCATGGCAGATGGTAAATAGTTATTGCATGTATGACCTAAATATGGCAAATGAAATTCATATATACGTATCCTAATATTCAATTTCATTTGCTAACATTTTGTTAGAAGGCAATTAAATGATTTTGAAAGCAGATCTAGCAATTATGTCTAGTGAACGTAGCTAACCATGCGTGCAATCTTTCTTTATCACTCCTTTGAGATATCAATCTTTAAATAATTTCTAACTCAAAAAAAATCAAAACTTTATTGTAAATTATAACATTCTCCACGTAGAAGCATGTCTCCAGTGTTAACAACGTTAATCGTAAAATAATTAGGGTATTGGGGGTAGAAATAATCTTTTAAAAATTGAACTGAACCGATTAATCTGTAAACAGATGATTGATTCGGTTTGATTCAATTTAAAATAAAACAATCGAAGGAAAAAATTCAATAGGAAGAAGAAGAAGAAGAAGAGGGAAGCACTGAGAAGTAAAAAGCAATAATGTGGAGAGATTGTTGGATTTGACGGGCTGAATAGATGATCACGATTCACAACCATGTCACCCAAAAGCAGGATCTAAAAACCTGGTAACAAGATAAAAAGGTCACTTACACTCAGGTAAAGTCAAATCCTTTTTTGTCTCTTAATATTTATTTCTTCTTATAAAACTTTACGCTACTTTATTTTTTCTGCTGCGCCTAATCTTTTTTTTTTTTTTTATCATCTTCCCAAATTCACGAAAACAACATTAACGTTAGTGGCTTGACATCATATCCTTGTATTGCTAATATCATTAAAAATTCTACTTATATGTATATTTACCTATTAATTATGCATTATTTCTATTATAATTATATGGGTGAAAATTGACACCAAATTGTTTCCATTTAATAATATTTTCATTTTAGGATAATTTTTTTATGGTCGAGAAAAAAATAAAATAGCCAAAAATGATTTTTTTTTTAATTCACTAGAGGTATTGTAGCGCAGGAGAACTTAAAATAGCATAACTCATAAAATTGGTGAAAAGTGAAAGCTCTTATACAAAATAGTATATTATATAACTCACTTTATTTGTTTCAGTGGAAATGATTTGGGTCTTTAAATAAAAAATTGAGTGTTTGATTTCTGTAATTTGAGAAAATTCATAGCTGGAGCACTTCCATCTGATGGACCTAGTGGCGCGACGCGAGCAGGATTATCAATAAACTAGGCACACCTGTGATATAATTAAATAAAAAAGAGAGGATTTTCAAAAAAAAAAAAAAAAACCGAAAATTGAAGTGTCTTGATTTCTGTATTATTTGAAGAAAATCATAGCTGGTAGCACTTCATCAGGAACCTAAGGTGCGCGACGCCCCGAGCAGATTATCAATAAAACTAGGCACAACACTGTGATATAATTAAATCTAAAAAAGAGAGGGATTTTTCAACAAAAAAAAAAAAAACACCGAGTTTGAAAAGTTTAATCAGTTATTATTATCCTAGCAGTAAATTTGCAATCAAAACGTTGCTAAGCTGAATCAATAGTTGACAACTTTGTTGTTCTAAAAAAAAAAAAAAAAAACCGAGTTGAAAAGTTAATAGTTATTATTAATTACATAATATTGCAATCAAAAGTTGCTAAGCTGAATCAGTAGTTGACAACTTGTTGTTTTTGTCTTTGAAGAGGAAAGGTTGAAAGTTTCAAACACTTTATAACTTTAGTAACTATTACAACAATTTTATTTTTTTTTATGTTGGTTTCTCATCGAATTGGAGTGCGTCTCAATTTGGACAAGTTGACAATATGGGATTTGTCCTTTTGAAACATTTTCATTGCTTTTAAAAATAAAAAATAAAATAAAATAAAAATATCAGCAAGGTGGTGGTGCCTAATTCATAACTCTATTGAATATAGTTTTAAAAATATAATATATATTTTTTTTATTATATCATAAAAATCTAACATTCTTTCGTATTTGAATATTATTATATGAAAAGGAGGACAAAAAGAAGACAATTCATTTTTGTCTTGATTTGTGAGAAATATTTATTTCCATAAATAACAATATTCCATTCTAGAACTCTATTGCAATTATCCCACTTTTATAATATTAATTAAAATTTCACATTTCAGTCACTTGCGTTCTCTAAACATGGGTTATATTTGGAAGAAAGAAAATTAATCAAATCTTGAAAACTTCATCACCAGCTTTCCCTTTTGGTGACTTTGAAAATTTTTTGGTGTTGCATTCATACATTAAACTAACTTTGATTTTTTTTTTTATGATTTATTAATTTCTTTAACCTTAACCTTAACAATTAACTTTGTAACTGCCTTCAATTGTTAAGCCCATCATTTATCACGGCCCATTGGCCTACCAATCAATCAAACTAACTCTGCACGGTCGTTGCGCGTATTTTTATCCAGAAACGGCTCCTTAATTTTTTGGTAATTATCTGCTTAATGCGAAGGGTATAATTGTAAAAGGAACGAAAGTTACCGTTAGAACGCCTTTACTCTGTATATGTAGCGGGACGCCCAATTGAAACACCCATTTCGAAAAACTGAACAATAGTGAGATATTTTTGAGAGAAAAGCGGAGAACTTTTGTAAGCATCAGCAAACTCACTCAAGAAACAAGAAGATCAATCACAATCAGAACCAATATGTGAGTTTTCTATTCAATTTACCCTTCGCAAGTTTTTCGTTCCTTATTTTCTTTCTCCCTTTTGGTTGTTCTAGGGTTTGAAATTATCGTTTTTGAAAGCAAATAGAAAACACAAATGTTAATTTTTGATCTATCTGGTTTCCAAGGAAAAGAATTTTTGAATCTCATAATCTCTTGTTTAGAAGGCCCTAGAAAACATCGTAATTTTGTAGGATTTGCAGATTGTATGGTTTGCTTAAGTTTAGATTTTTGAAGTAATGGTTCGAGTTTGATCCGGCTGTTTTTGTTCTCTATTTCTTGATGACTTGACAATGGTACAACAGATCAACGATTGTTTGGTATAGCCGTTTAGGCTGTTTTGTATCAGATTTAGATCGATTAGTAAGTATATGGTTCACCCTGGAGTGAATCGACTACTAAAGTTCTGTTTGGTACCGGGAAATTATATACCTTAGGACCCTAGTTGTTGCTGCAGTTATTGTTAGTTTATTTCTTAATTACTGTTTAAAGCACTCATTAATTTCATTATTAGCTTTCCTGTTTTACCATTTGTGCATATCTGAGGAAGTTTATTGATGGTCGGAAAAAGCTTTTATTTTTCTTTTATTTGAATTGCTTTGTAGCAATCATGTTACTTTGTCTGATAAAGCGTGTGGCAAATCGAGGAGTGTATGGTAGTGGTATTTAATGTATCTTCGGAATTTTTGATAAAATTAGTATTATTCCGTCGCTTATTTCACAGGCCATGCTTACTTGAAACATTGTATTGTAATAGGAATTTAGTAGGTCATATTAAGTGTTGCTTCCTGTTGGTATGCGTGTTCCCTCATATACATTTGTTTCAGTTTGAAACTCTGTTAATCGTTTTCTTACTCAAACTTGTATGTGTTAGGTTCTTTGATACGTTTTGAAACTCCATAAAATGGGTTACCTTGTGTTGTTCCTCATTTTATAATTTGACCTTTATTTGTCAAATCTCTATGTTTTGCAGAGCATTGATTTGAACCTATTTGGAAATTCAGTGATGGCATCACGAGCTGGAGGTGTGGTTCAAGATCAGAATTTAAACATCCACTATAATGGTACAGCTCTATCAACTCTGTTTTAGCTTAATATGAAGTTACTAAATTCAGCCTTCAATTTTTTTACGGTGTTGTGGTCTAACTTTCAATATGTGCTGCAGAAACTTCTGTTGGCTGGAAGACTAATGTCTCTAAGGCACCAATAAAAGGAGTTCTTGGTGGAAGGACGCCACTTGGTGATTTGTCAAATTCAGTGAAGCATTCTCTGAATCAGGGATCAAAGAAGCAGGGTTCTGGCCTTTTCTCCTTCACTGAGAAAGGTAGTGCCACCTCTCAGAATACACTTGATGCAAGCAAGAAGAAAAGTACCTCTAAAGCCTTGGGCAAAGTGCAGACCAGAAGTAGGAAAGCACTTTCTGACATTTCAAATTCAGGGAAGCCAAACCTGAACGAGGGATCAAAGAAGAACTACAAAGGAAAGCTAAGTGTTGTGGCGGAGGAGCCAATTGATGCCAAGGCAATTGCAGAGGAACGATTTCTGCACAATCATGAAGAATGTATTAAAGCTCAGACCAGAGCTATGGACTTGGATCAATTTTTACAGATAATTGGACTTGACAATGGTAACCGATATATAAAATTTGAGTAAAAATCATTCTGTAAATTTTTTCACTCATAAGATTCACATGTTTGTTTTGTTGTCTAGTTATTTCCAAACAGCAGGAAAATCCTATGTCGATTAAAGTGAAGGTCTGTCTGATTTTTCCCTCTAATCATTTTGGGTCCTCCTTTCTTGTTTTGAGGATAAATTTCATGGATTGTCTGAGCAAATGTTTAGTTTCTGTTTCAGGCCCAGAGTCCACCGAGGCACTTGGAACTGGAAGAGATGACTGAAGAGCTGATTGAAGATCAATCTTGGAAACACAAGCTTGATTCTCCACCTCCTTGCAGAACTCCAAAATTACCAAGGCATTATATGGACTATGACTTTGTTTTCGAGTTGTTAGAATCACCGTAGTTGAGAAAGCATTGATTGCCTTCTTTATCAATGCTTGTTTGGAATGGTAGTAATTTTGCAGAAGTTGTGTGAATATTGCAGTGGCAATGTGATGACAATTCTTTGGGAAGTTATTTGGAATTGAGCAATCTAATGCTCTTGTCTTTTTTAAACATCTTAATCCTTTTGTTATTCTATAAGGAATGGTTATTCTGTCGCCATCCCACACTGTATTGTCTTTTTGATATGCCTATGTTGATTGTTTGAAGTGCTCTTAGTTACTTGGAGAAGGTTTCCCCTAGAGGAACCTTTATTCCAGTCATGTTATTTGCTAAAAGGCAAAAAGAAATCTCCATATAAAATCTATGCGTCTATTTATTTATTTTATAGAAAATAGTTTTGTTTTTTTCAGTTTTCTAAGAAAAATATGAAAAATAGAAAGAGAAAATGAAAAAATGTTCATTTATTATTATCAAAAAAGAATTACTTTAGTTCAAAAAATTTTAAAAATTATTCATAATTATTGTAATTAAAAATATTCTGTAAAGGTAAAATGTAAATTATTTCAAAATTTTACATATTATAATTGTAATTGTAAAAGAGTTTTTTTTCAACCAAAAAATACTTGGAAAACAAAATTTCTATTATTAAGGAAAATTAAGAAAAAAAAAACGTTAATATTTTTTCAAAATCTGAATTTATTTTAAAAACTGCAAAATTAGTTTTCAAATTTTTAAATAAACAAGAAAAACTTCCTATTTCTTCGTTTTTTTTTTTTGGAAAAATTGTAATCGACTCTAGTTTTCTCCAAATAAATAGGTCCTATATTAATCTAAGACGGCCCAAACTGAACGACCATCACACTCAAGTAAGAGCATCCTCATCCTCTTTGCTAAACAAAACCACTATACTGCACCTGTAAAACCTCAAAGTACAACGTATAGAAGGTGAAATGGTGGTGTCTCTTAGACTACCTTCTCTCACTTCCCTCTTTTTCCATACTCCATCAATTCGCCGGTCGTCGGCGTTTTGTAGGCGGCGCCACTATTGCCGTTCGCCGCCTCTAACATCGTCCTTCTCTGCTCAGAGTGCGGCTTCGAGCCCTCCGGAGACCGAGGAACGAGTTGATAACCTGAAGAATCGAGTCAACCAGGACCGAGTCATTACTCCCCGATCTCAAGACTTCAATGCTTGGTATCTCGATGTTATTGCCAACGCCGAGCTTGCTGATTATGGTCCTGTTCGTGGTACTATGGTAATTCGTCCTTATGGATATGCTATCTGGGAGGCAATCCAGGTACTAATTTTTATTCAGACACTGATTTATTGAGTTTTGGTATTGCCTGGTTGCTTTTGAAAGCTGAAATTGCAAAAGAAAGTGCGTTTCAATGCTCAGTTTTTAGTGCTTTTTTAACTGAGTTTTATTTTATTTTATTTTATTTTATTTAATAATTATTAATTTTAAATCTCAGGATTATTTAAATGTTAAGTTCAAGGAGACTGGTCACAGCAACATGTACTTTCCTCAGGTGTGTTTCTGTTGCCTCCGTTTGGTGGCTGAGAAAGCTTAAGAAAGGAAATGGAAACTAAAAGCTTTCACTGTTTTTACATCAATGATATGATGCAATTGCCTGTTTAGGATTATTGCATCAATTATTTTCTTATGGATAGATGCAAAACAGTTTTTGTAATATTTGCATCTGAATTATGGCTGCAGTTTATACCTTACTCGTTTATAGAGAAAGAAGCTAGTCATGTTGAGGGCTTTAGTCCTGAATTGGCTTTGGTAACTATTGGTGGAGGAAAGGAGCTTGAAGAAAAACTTGTGGTAAGTTAATTCTGAAGCAAAAATTACCATTTGCATTTGCCTTTTCTTTATGCAATTCAATCTCTTTTGTCTACAATTAAAAGTCTATAGTTAATGAGGATGATGGTTCAAGCTCATGATAAAACATGACCCGAGTTTTGGCTTTGATTGTTGCACTTCTGAGGTTGTGGCAGGTTCGACCTACTAGTGAAACTATAGTGAATCACATGTTTACTCAGTGGATTCATAGTTACCGCGATCTTCCTCTCATGATCAACCAGGTGATAATTTTGGCACAAAAGTTGTAAATAGTATCCAATTATATAGACTATCAACTGCATTTGTATCCCTATTTTTCCTCTTTCATCTAATCCTCTTTCCCATTTCAGTGGGCAAATGTCACAAGATGGGAGATGCGCACAAAACCATTTGTGAGGACTCTTGAGTTTCTCTGGCAAGAGGGTCATACAGCTCATGCTACTCCTGAGGAAGCGGAAAAAGAGGTTTCATCTTATTGATCTCTGGAATGCTTGTAATTATAGTAGCAAAGTAATATAATTTAATGGATTGATGATCCTGTGCTGCAGGCTTTACAGATGATTGAAGTCTATACAAAATTTGCTTATGAGCAAGCTGCAATACCTGTTGTTGCAGGTCGAAAGTCAAGGTTGGAAACCTTTGCTGGCGCTGTTAGGACATATACAATAGAGGCTATGATGGGTGATCGTAAGGCATTACAGGCTGGAACCAGCCACAACCTTGGCCAAAATTTTTCTCGGGCTTTTGGAACTCAGGTAAGTGCTCATAATCTATTCTGTTAGTTGATTTTCAGGCATTTGTCACAGTTGCTGAACTCCAAGATACCGATCCTACAACACTTAGATGACTCCTGTATTTTTCTATTCTCAAAAGATGATAAGAACATCAGCAAAGTATAAAACCATCTATTTTGAAACCAACTAAGCAAACCGTATGTTGTTTCTGCATTTGTTTTGCTGCTTTGGAATGTTCCTTAAAGAACCATACGGAAAGCTCAATAGAAATGGGTCACAATTTTAATATTAGATTCACACCAATGTATCTTCTGTTCTTTTTGTTTCCTATGTGTATTTACTGTGCATGAGTGTGCAACATTTTTATGCTTTTAGCTTGGTATTGTTACTATCCTGCTTTATCTTTGCTTGTGTGTGTTTTGGGTAATTGAGTACATTAAAGTATTGTCCACGACAGGGCTTGTCCGGACAACTCTGTTATACATACTGTTTTCAATGTTTTGGGAAGTGAACTAATATCTGATTCACATTGTTATACAGTTCACTGACGAAAGTGGACAAAGGCAGCATGTCTGGCAGACATCATGGGCCATCAGTACCCGCTTTGTTGGTGGTATTATCATGACACATGGAGATGATGCAGGCTTAATGCTTCCCCCCAAAGTAGCACCAATACAGGTACTTTTTGGAGTCATATTATTGATTTCAAAAAGTCAATATGTGCTCTGCTCTGTTTTTCTCAGTGATTCGACAGGAAACAATCTATGTTTTGTTGGTTCAAACAATCGTGTTTTCCATATGTCTGGGTGCTTAGTTATATGAGCATTTCATTTTCCTTGATATTTGCATTGCATTCTCCTAGGTTGTGATTGTGCCAATTTGGAAGAAGGATAATGAGAAAGCTGGAGTTCTCAGTGCAGCATCATCTGTGAAAGAAGTTCTGCAATCTGCTGGTCTCAAAGTTAAACTTGATGATTCAGATCAGAGAACCCCAGGATGGAAGTTCAATTTCTGGGAGATGAAGGTTAGTTCTCATTCATAAGTTCTGAGCACAAATTGAAATGAAAAGCTGTTGGTCATGAACTTTATACCCTACAACTTGATTTCGATACCTGTGAAAGGTAACCAAATAGGTCTAATCAATGTAGCACCTTAAACCCAACCCCTCAAAAGCTCAGTTATTGGCTTCTTCCTCTGAAACAAACAATTTTAGGTACATTTGCTGTATTATTTTGTTTTGCACATTATGCTTATCTTTTATTTGCTCATGGAAAGACATTAATTTGTTTTTCTTCAAAATATAAAATCAATTTTCAAATGCATGAAATGATACCTTGATTTCATAGGGAGTACCTTTGAGGATTGAAATTGGTCCTCGAGATGTATCAAGTGGAAGCGTGGTCATATCTAGGAGAGATATTCCTGGTAAGCAAGGAAAAGTTTTTGGAATATCTATGGAGCCTTCAATTTTAGAAGGTTATGTCAAGGACAAGTTGGATGAGATCCAGTCATCCCTTTTGGAAAGAGCAACATCATATCGGGACAGGTGCGTTCTCTTTCTGTAGTATTTATTTCACAGTGGAAGCTTAGTGCTTATGATTTGTTAGTTATAAGGTGTTTCCTTCAAATGGATTCAGCGTCTACAACTGTGCTTCCTTGAAATGATTCAGATGCAGAACTAGATTTATAGTTTTAGGGTGAATTACTAATTTAATCCCAATAATTTAGTCGAATACAAAAGTTAGAATTTCTATTTAAAATAATCAATTAAATAGCCCCTCTATTTCGTTGACATTTAACATGTTGTTACTTTTTCCATTAAATTGTGGTAAAATAACAATTTTACCTTCTTTAATAAAATTTCGGATTTTCGTTTGCATACCACTGCTGAATCAAACCTTGAGTTTTTACTTTTATCCAAAAATCACCAACCTTAATTCATAAATAAAAACTCATTAAAAATAATAAGCCGTTTATATGTTTAGATTAAATTATTAGAGAAAATTTGATAATAAATATTTTTTTTCCTCAAGGGTAAAATTAGAATAAAAGTGTTTTATTTGGTTTTCTTGGTCGACTAACCCAAAAATAAGCGAAATTTTAACAGAAGGACGATGTAGTTGAATGGCTTCATGGTTACAACACGTTCTCGTTGTTTATAGCACTGCCTATTGGAAGCTTCATGGGAATTATTATATCCATATCATAGCATTTTATGCTAGTATATCATTATAATCATAATGTATTAAATGTCGCTTTTATTTTTATTATTTTTTAAATTTGTAGTTTATTCTCTTCCTTTTCAAATCCTTTTTAATGTTATTCTGACATTCTTATGCAGTAATATTGTGGATGTTAGCTCGTATGATGAACTCAAAGAAGCAATATCCCTTGGCAAATGGGCAAGGGGTCCTTGGTCAGCCAGGTAGTTTATTTTCCTCTATCATTATGTCTACTTATGAAAAATATGTTTTAAGTATCAATATATCAAGCTAAGTAGACAAAACTGCATTTCTTAGTATATGCTGTAATTATTGGCTGCAGTGATGCTGATGAATTAAAGGTGAAAGAAGAAACAGGAGCAACAATTCGATGTTTTCCCTTTGAACAGCCTCAAGGGACTAAAACATGTTTGATGACTGGCGAGCCAGCAGAAGAAGTTGCGATTTTTGCTAAATCTTATTAATTATTAAGGTGTTCACCCTCCCTCTTCAAACAATCAAGCTTGTTCAAGGGAGCATTCTAATCAGGGAAAATTTCGTCAGGATTTTCTTTTTATTTATAAGTTGCATCAGATTGGCAAAGCAAGGGAACTAATCAATTACTGTGAATTGTTGAAGATTAGACATTATATTGTGATTCTTTTACCTATATATGCAAGAGATGTGAATTATTGAATATTTTCAATTGGCTCTTTGAGCTATGTCTATTCTAGGTAACAAAAGAAAATATATATAGAATACATGTAAAGGAATTCCAAGATTAGTTTGGTTGGTAATCTGTCCTTATCTTTTAAGGATTAATTTGCATTATTTGGTTGGTACTTGATATTTGCAATGTCTTGTGGCTTTATCTTTAATTTATATTTTAGAAGTCTGTCCTTATCTCGTTGATGATGATAAGCCTCATCATAAATTTTTCACAATAACTGCAAGTAGAAACCATCATAGCAATTTTTGAATCTGAAAATGCAAGCTATGTCATGTTTCGTCACCAGCTAAAGCTAATAGCCTCGAAATGTAGGTTTTGCACTGAACTGGACGAACAGATTGCAGCCACTTCTTGCCTCATCTGTTTTGGTCCACTTACAAGAACTCCCACACAGTCTCCTTTGCACTCCAATAATATTTCTGTAAGAATCAATAATGGAGAATTGATGTTAAAAATATGTTAGAATTTATAAATTCATGATTTAGAACCATCTGAAGTTGCTACTTATCATTTTAGTATGTCGTACTTTTGAAATCTGGCCTTTGACCAAGGTGCACACTGGTGGCTTGGAGAAGAGATTGATAAGGCAGGTTTTCCAATTCTCTCTCAGTATCGTGGAATTGTAAACACACAGGGGACATTCCAGGTGTTGGCGTGTCAATGTTCTGAATCTGTTTCATTTCCTTAGCATTGTGTTTCTTGTTCCAAACAAATGCTGCAGAAGCAGTCATTACTATGGAAACACTTATAAACAGCATGTTTAAAGCAGATCTTGCAGGCATTGAGTACATCATGTTAGTATTATGGTCAATCGGGTACATATAGTATCGTGTGAGGATGCCGATTAGGATAAGGAAGACTATAAAAGAAGTAGAAATTATTGCAGCAAGCCAGAGCCAGCCATTTGGACCTAGAACTGCAGAAACAGGCACATCGGATGCATTAGGCTTGAACCAAATCGTCCTGAGTTTTTGGTTCTCTGGTTCAAGCTCCTTTTCACTGGTTATGTAGGCTTCAATTTCTAACTGCAAAAGAGAGAGGTCAGGTGTGGTGCCTGAAACTGGGAGTAGAAGGTCTAACATGGTGAGGTTTATAGATTTCTTGAAAGTGCACACGAGGAGAATCCTCGGCGTTTTGACGTTCGTTGTATTGGCTATAAATAGCATTTCGCGGAAGATAGAGATGAAAGGGGTAATGCCACTTCCTCCACTCACCATCACTACCAAGTCATGCCTGCAGAATACCCTCCCCCATGAATGTTAAATTCAAACACAAGAAACTAAGGATATGACTCCGAATTAAGCATCACCTCATATAATCGGTTGAATTCGCAAGACCATAAGGTCCTTCAATGGAGACCTCAAGACGGTCCACAGGTGAAGGTGATGACAAAATCTGATACAACTCTTGACACCAATTTCCTTCACATTTTATTACCATGGTTAATTTTTCCGGTTCCATGTTGGTGTTGGATATGATTGTAAAGGGATGCCATTGCAGCTTTGAAATTTCAGGCACGTTTATGAATGCCATGCTTTTCAGACCACAGCTCAACTCTGCAATTAATTACATGCAGAACCGGTAAATTTCAGTAACCAAAAGACCAAGTTTTACGAAGTTTGATAACTTTACCTGGACTCTTTGAGAAATTTAGCTCTAAGGTATCACAAGGCAAAATGCGAGCTGAGACTAAAGCAACTCTCTGTTGAGATTGCAATAATCTCAAGTACCGATCAATCACGTAGAGGTAAAAACCAGCAAGGACGATGCAGGAATCAGAGAAGCCGACATGAAACACATAAAAAACAACAAAAAGAATGTAGAGATAATGAGTATAGAAGAAGAGCTCAAAAATATTTCGCCTTATGCGATTTAGGCTTGTGATCCACATTATCAATCCAAAAAGCAAAGCTATTTCTCCACCCAAGTTAGAAACGAGGAACTTATCCCATTTCAGGATCTGTGACAGTTGATTTGTTTTAGCCCAGAAGACAAGGTAGCATAAACCATGTGCAGTGAAAATAGCCAAAGTAGTATGCCCTAGCCATATGTGATACTTGATGCTTGCCTCTGAGGTCAAGCCTATAAACTGCAAAATTGATGATCCTCTTGTTACTGGAAAGAAGAGAAAGGCCAAACAGACATTTCCAACTAGTCCTAGGGATAAACCTGCATTTTCCAACTTAGCTTCCCACCTGCAAAAGAATAACACTCGTACACTTCTTTTTTCTTTTAAAAAAATTCCAATTTAATTACAAAAAAAGGGGAAGAAAATATTAATAAAAAGAAAGAAATATTTACAGTTGAATTCCTGAGTATGCAGCTTCCAAGGAAGCATATGCGAACAAATCATGCAAGTAAGAATAGAAAGACCATATCAATAAGGCAAAGAAAATGCCCAAAAATGATATCTCTATCCACAGAACAATCCCGAGAGGGCCTTTCACAAGCACTGGTCGTCTCCACCACCCAAACCAAGAATCGACCTTTCTGTTTTCAGTTTCCTGATGAGGAAATTTCTTCCCCAGATGAAGGTATGCACAGGCCAAGGCAGCAATGAAAAGAACAGGAAATGTATAGACCAGCATGTTCGCACCTATAATTTCAAAAAATAAGAAAATACTTAAAACCTCTCCTTTTGTAAATTAAATAAGACAGATTACAAAAATAAATTAAAAATGAAACCTTGTTCTCCAAAAAATGTGGAATTGATGTGTGAATGAATATTAGGCAGCCAATGCAAATAGTAAGTGTTGGTGGCCTTCATGACCCATATCATCATGTAACCAAGAAAGACAACTGCTATGAACACCCTTATGGCAGATTGAACCATTTTCATATTGCTTCACCACAACTAAATTCACTAACTCTTCAGTAGAGTTGATTTTATAGCAAGAAATATATTAAATAATGTATTATTACGTGTGAAATTAATTATTCGGCAGACAAATTAAATGTCAAAAAAAATATTGTTGTTTTGACTTGTAATTCGAGAGGCAAAGTTTCCATAATTTGGATTGATGATGGTTTTATCGTTCCTTACAAAGCAATTGTCATAATTTAAGCAACGATTTACATTTCTAAGGGAATGTTTCTCCTATTGGCCTTTTAATTAATTGATGAGTGGAAGTCTTAAAATGTTAGCCTACGACTAAACTTAATATGACGAAAGAAAAAAAAAAAAAATCATCTAATAAAAAACATCGAAACTAATTTACAAAATGGTATATTATATGAAGATTAAAACAACGCAGAACAGTTAAATTGTCTCCTTCGAGCTTGTCGCGTTTATTATTTCCTGACATAAGATAATATATTACAGAGTTGAACTAGAAACTTTATATCCTCAGTTACTAGCTCCATTAGAATCTGTTAAAGGCAGGCAGCAGCGGTACGCATGAATCGGGTCCATGGTCTCACCGATAAACCAAACTAATAAAAATAAGAATTTATTTACCCGGCGCGCTTGACACGAGAGGAGAACCACCAACGTGATTTTTCTTATTGTTACGCAGCATATAAAATTAGATGAAGTGCAAGATTATACATGCATGACCTCACCAGTCAAAGCTAATAGATTCAAAGTGGAGGTTATCTGCCAAACCAGAAGAGCAAATTTTGGCAACCTCATGTCTCATTGCCCTTGGCCCGCAGGCTAATACTCCAACATCTACTCCTTTGCGCTCTAATAAAATTCCTGCCAACAAATATATGATCAGAATTATACGGATATGTGAAAATTCTACATATATAGTACTGTTAGCTAGTATATGCTTACTGTTGAGATCAGGTCTTGCACCAAAATGCAACTTTGTAGCTTGGACAAGGGACTCATGGGGAAGGCTTTCCAGCTCTCTATCTCCTGGTGATGCTGTTGGAGTTGGCACTTCCAGGTTTTGAATTTGCTGGGCATTTTTACTTTTGCACCAAAGAAAGGCTGCACTGCAAGTTATTATAACGCAGGCACATACCAAAAGCGTATCCCACAATACAAAATATGAAAAATGGTATATCTCACTTGTGTTATGATCAATAGGGTAAATATAGAACCGAGTAATGATTCCTAGTAATACAAGAAACATCACAAATGATGATGCGATTATTGCACCAAGCCATAGCCAATTGTTTGGACCTAGAGCTGCAGTGATAGGTGAGTCGGATGGGTTTGGCTTGAACCATATGGTTCGGAGGAGGGTTTCAGAATCTGGAATAGGCTGCTGTGTCTCTCTCGTGATGTAAGCTTCAATTTGCAGATTCACTTGAGTGATTTGTATAGGTGCGTTATTGACTGGGAGCAAGAGGTCTAGCATTGTAAGATCAGCTGTGTTCTTGAATGCACAAACCAGAAGAACTTGTGGATTATGGGAGTTTGGTTGTGCACTTTGGAAAATGATCTGGCGGATTATGGATATGAAGGGAGTGATACCGCTACCCCCACAAACCATCACCAGCAACTCATGCCTGTGGCAAGACAGATTCTATCTTGATGAGCATGATTCCAGAAATAAAGCTGATAAGTATTTTGACTCTGAAAAACTGACTAAAAATTTGCTGATTTACTCCCACACAATCAACTGCTAATTCCAAAATATATATAAAGCAGTAAATCCACCTTAGAAAATGGGATGAAGCAGGTCCGTAAGGCCCTTCAACAGACAATTCAAGGCCAATATCATTAGAAGATGAAAGTTGTTGGTAAAGCTTTTGAGACCAACTTCCTTGTCTTTTGATAACTACACTTAGCTTATCTGGTTCCATATTGCAGTTTGAAGTGACAGTAAAAGGATGCCACTGTAGCTTGGAAATGCAAGGCACATTCAAAAATATTATGCTTGTTGGATTATAATACAATCCTGTCAATTACATTGTGAGTTAAGTGAGCAAATGCGTTTGATGATTCAATGTTTGCATTCTTAAATTGTGGGTTAACTACCTGTACTCTTGGAGAAGTTGAGCTCAATACTGCCACATGGTAAGAGGCGAGCTGACATTAATCTAGCTCGTTTCGTTGATTGTAAGAATCTCAAGTATCTGTCAATGACGAAGAGGAAGATCCCAGGTAGGATCATGCAGAAATAGGCAGCGCCAACATGCAATACATAGAAGAGAATGTAGACAATGTAGAGATGGTGCGAATAGAAGAAAACCTCGAACATTTTACGCCTAATGCGATAAGAACTAGTCACCCACATTGCCAGTGCAAGTACCATTGCAATCTCTCCAGCAACATTTGATACCCAGGTTTTGCTCCATTCTAACATCTGCATTAGTCCAACACCCTTTTCAACACAAAAACGAAGTCTTATCCCGCAATAATATCATTCACACGATATACATTAGCTCAAATACCCAAAAATCCAGCAGCACCATCTATTTTTAGGTCCATCCATTAAATCATTCAATTAATAAAATATTCGTATCTATTATTATTAAACACTAATTTATAAAATTTCACAGTCTTCAATTACTAGATATATGCTCAACAGGTGCAATACATTATGTAATTTTTTAGCACATAAATTATTTGATAATAATCTATACAATTTTTAATCATAGAATAAGTGTTCAATAAATATAATTTATAAATAAATTTAATTTACAAATCGAAGAATTTATATGTAGGCAGAATTACTTATTAAAGTATTATTAGACTTATATATGTATATATATGTCTTCAATTACTAGATATATGCGTAAACAGGTGCCAATCATTATGTAATTTTTTAGCACATAAATTATTTGATAATAATCTAAATAGCAATTTTTAATCATAGAATAAGTTGTTCAATAAAATATAATTTATAAATAAAATTTAATTTACATCGAAGAATTTTATATGTAGGCAGAATTAATTATTAAAGTATTATTGACTTATATATGTAATTATATATATATATATATATATAATATATATATATATATAATTTCAATTTCAATTTACCCTTGAACTTTAGGGTTTTATCGTTATGGTACCTTAACAATTTTTTGAGATCCCCAAAGTTGTAAATTGATACTCATTTACAACTTCAAACGCCATGATATGGATCTCTTAAAAGTTTTAGTATGCCTTATTTTCAAATATATATATATATATATTAAAATCCTGAAATTTAAGGATAGTTTTATGAATTAGGCGGATTTGTCCAAGAATGATGAAATTGTACAGAACAAGAAATTATGAATGTCTCGTTGCTTTTCTAGGATGTCATTTTATTTATGGTCATGGATGGTGACTTCTATTTACGTTATACCCATTAATTAATTGCCTTGACATGATAGTGGTGATAGAAGAAAAGCTAGCTGAGCAAAAGGAATCTAAACACCCTACGTACGGTCAAACAATAAAGACAACATATATAATTGGCTTCCCAAATAAATGGGACAATAAGGCTGTAACCACAAAAAAAAAAAAAAAAAAAAAAAAAAAAAAAAGATGAAAGAAGATTCTCATCTTTCTTTTAATTTTATCGGCAAACCAAGTAATTTGGATAAAAAAAAAAAAAAAAAAAGATGAAGAGATTCCTCATCTTTCTTTTAATTTTTATCGCAAACCAAGTAATTGGATTAAACTAAAGAGTCTAGCCACTCAAAAACATCAAGCACCATAACATATTAACTAGATCATGCATATTGGTAATATTGAAATAAGATTATCTAATATGTAATAGCAAGTACCAGAGCCATTTGATTTGTCATTCCCCAGTATATGATGAAACCTATGGTATGTGCAGCAAAAAGGATCATAGACAGATGGCCGAGCCAGATATGATACTTGATACTCGACTCAGATGTGAGTCCAACTAGAGGCAAAACTGAAGAGCCTCGAGTTACTGGAAAGAAGAGAAATGCCCAGCATATGTTTCCAATATATCCAAGTCTCAGCGATACACTTCGAAACTTTGCCTGCCATCTAATAGGCCAATTTAAATTTAATTAGAAAAAGAGATGAGAAAAAAAAAAACCCATGAAAGAGAGGGATCTTCCCTATTACGTACACTTTCTCCCCTTGTTTATCCATGTGGAGATGGCCAAAACTGACATACAAGTAGTTGGCAAGAGACCAGATCAAGAGTGCAATGAACATGACTGCAAATGCAATCTCCACAGCTGTAAAAATGCCTAGAGGAGCCATCACTAGCACTGGGCGTCTCAAGAAGGATAAACGCTTGCTTGTAACAACTCTACAACCAGTTCAACACATACTAGTAATATTACTTATATTAAAAATAGGATGAAAATTATAAAGTTGCAGGAGAAAACGAAAGAGAACCTTTTGGAGCTGGAGTTTTTGAGTTTCTTCTGAAGATGGAGATAAACACATCCAGAAATAGCTATGAACATCACAGGGAAGGAAAACAAAAGCAGATTTGTCCCTGTAAAGGGATGAATTAGTAGCTTAGAAGAACGAGACACAACTTCATATTCATAACGATTCAAACGAAAAAAAACTAACCTTGCACTTCAAATTTTGAATTGATTAACTTGCTTGTCAGCTTTGGTGTCCATTTATTATCGTAAAGCTTTGTTGGCAACATAACCCAGATCATGATCCACCCAAGAAACACCACAAGGACTATTAACCTAATCATGTTGCTTATCATCTTCTCGTCTAGCTAGGTGCAGCTATAGAAGGTAGCCCTGCAAAATTAGATACTTTGCTAAGAATTTATACACCACAAGTAGTATAAAAGAACAAAACAGCATGATTCATACATACATGTATGTGTGTGTATATATGCAAGGTCAAAAACCTAAAAGTTTGACCCTTTTAAGCTGGAAGAGACAATTAAACTAAAGTATAACGTATATGTATATATGTTGGCGATATAAAATTCTAGTAAAACACTAATGATCAAGCAAAAGTCCCTTTCATTTGGTGTTCTTACATTCCATCATCATTTTAATTAAAGAAGCTTTTGAGTCAGTTATTTGTATAATGCATGATTTGTATAGCTTGTAGAGGAGAAACGAGGATTAATTTAAAGTTAGGGCCTAAGAGATTTTTTTTTTTTTTATTTTTAAGGTGAATAAGAGAGATTTTTTAAAATTAAGGAATACAAAATTTTAAAAAAAAAATATTGAAATTTATAAGGTAATTCCGAAAAACTTTTTTCGAGCTAGGGTCACTGTCGTCTACTTACCTTCGCCACTGGTTTTAATTTGAATATAACTTTAGTTTTCATTTAGATGTGAGCATTTATTTGAAGAAAGAAAATAACTATGAAAAATACCTAAAGAAATGAATTTTCCTTTATTTAGAAAGAGAACGAAAATGATGAGAAGTAAAATTTAAATTATTTTCCATCCAAACTCATATATCTACAATTTCTCCATTGAAAATCAGCCAAAGAAAATGGAAATTTTATATATCCAAATATCACAAATTTTCAATAATTGTCAATTTTGAAATCAATTTCCAATCATAATATTTTCTTTCATTTAAAACTTTACAAAGGAAAATATAATTGATTTTCTTCCTTTCGTTATATCTACATACAAAGTGAAAAAACTTTAAAAAATAAAATGATAATTTTTCCTTATTTTCTTTCATTATTTTACTTCCTCTCCCTTCCAAGCAAGGCTTTAAGCTTTAGAATTTACTTTTCTTATAACAAATCTTCCTTATTGTCGTTTAAATAATAATAGGTTAACACAATTTTGGTACTTGATATACAATCCTTGTGGATACAATACTCTTTCACTCTATATTACTTATTGCGATTTCGTACACTTGCAAAAATCACTGTCAAAGAACTTTATTTTGAAGATAAAAATAAATTCTTACATATCAATAATTTTATATGAAATATTAATTGCATTATTTTGCGTAAAAATAAATTATTAACAAATTGATTTTAATGCAAATATAGAATTCTAGAAAATACTTTTAAGCATAATAAATAATAATGTTAGATAATTATTTTTACAAAAAATTACAAATGATTCTAATACCTTATTAGAATTTTCATAAATTTAAAATTTTATAATTAATTCTGATATAATATATAATATGTGCTATTTTAAAAAAATATAAATAAATTTAAGGTAAAATGCTATAATTAATTAGAAATAACAATATATTATTTATATGGTTCAATTTATATAATTAGATTTTATAAAAGTGTCACGACCCGTTTCCGTGGGCCGGACCGGCACTAGGGCCCAGGTAAGCATAAAGCCCCCGAGGCCTGTAGTAAGCCTAATTACTTAGCTATACATTCCGTACCATTTAATAGAAACAAGTAAGTCCATACAAGTTAAAGATATAAATGTAAATAAATGTTATTATACAATCCGGCCCAATTTTAATTATCTCCAATAAAATTTAGTTTGGGCCTAGTCATTATCAATCACGTTCATAATATGGGCATACTGATTTTCCTGTGTCTAATAATACAATCAACCGTTTATAAAACAACGCATACGGCAAGGCCCAATTGGCAATTGGAAATACACGACCCTATAACTGCGGAGTTCAATAATATTCTGATAATAGAATAATTTATACATCCAAAATTAAATAACAGAAATATAAAGCTTACATTTATAACTCTGCTGAGAAGAGTGCAGAGCTTCAGTTGAATCCGCTGCTTCCTAGTACCTGAGAGGTTTGTTGGGGGGGTGAGTTTTGCAACTCAGTGAATAATAATAAATAATACACCACATACACTCAAGCAAAATGCACCCTAGTATACTGAATGAACACACAACAGTCAATCATATGGCATCACATCAGCACCCACAAACAATACCACAAACAATATCACCTTCCAAATAATCACATCACGTGAATTAGTCAGGTGGGGAAGTCACCCGATACCCCCGATGAGCCGCCTCCCGACATGGCCTCATCCTCTCACATGTGCCCAGGGAGCCGATCCCCATAACTGGCCGACCGTCCCTAATCCTCAACTTGACAAGCCCTCTTCAGTATGTTTTTCCATTCTCTCTTTTTTGGTTCCATACCACAGGAGGCAACTCGGTCGTCCTCCATCAATCCTAGATCATCAGGCGCTCCACAACAGGAGGCCACCGCTGTCGGGCTTGCGATCAAATCTAGAATTATCCGGTGCGCCCAATAAGAAGCCAACCTGTGGTTTAACAGTAACGGTAACGTAAGGTGCACACGGGGGCCCGATCTCCCCATTTACCCGGCTAACATTAAGAAAACAGAATCAGGATCTCATATAATAGAATCAGAAATATAAACAGAAATCATAATCTGGATCCGTATAACAGAAAAACAGTCCTCAACAAACCCATGGTGACGCCCACTCATCCCAATTCCAACACAAAACAAAATTCACAGTATAGTACAAGCACAAATAATCACATTTCATTCATCAAATGAATACACCAATTTCATCCCAAATGCACCAATTATATATAAGTATAATTATAGTCGTAACATAATATATATGATAAAATACTTATAATATATTGTAAATATGTAAATAAAAAATATAATGTTTATAAATAAATGATATGCAAATGTAGTGTTGATATGCATTATTTATTATTACTCAAAGTGATGGAAGAGCGAAATTCTAACTTTGATGTTGTCCTGGAGGAGCACTAGATGGACCCGGGCGATGCAATATATATTGTTGCCGGACTTTTTGGTTAACCGGAAATGGAGGTTGGTGGCCGGAGAGGAGGGTGGCGATGGCGGATCTATTGCGACAGCAAGGTGCGGCGATGGCGCACGGTGGCTGGGTGGCGCGATCAGCTGCTGTCTAGCCAGAGATGAAGACGCAGGCGCAGTGAAGGGAAAAACAGGAAAGAAAGAAAGAAAAGAAAGAAGAAGAAGAAGAAGAAAAAGAAAAATAGAAGAGAGGGAGGAGGAGGCGCTGCTGTGATGGTGAGAAGTAGAGAGGTGCAGCGTTGTTCCTTCTACCGAAATTTATTTTATTTTTTTATACCGAATTTGTTTTTATTTTTCTACCGAAACTTATTTTATTTCTACCGAAATTTCGGCAGCATCTCCCCCTAAAAGTTGGACTATCCACCTGTTAAAATATACACAATTTATCTAAAAATTTCAAACCACACAGCCCATCCATCGGGCAATCAATCAATCAAATTTTTCCATCCTCCATCAATAACGTTATATCGAAACTTCATTAAATCAACAATAAAATTATAAATCTTGTAACTACTCACAATTACTAAATTAAATTAACTAAATTAATTCACTACAACCAATAAATTTAATTTAATTAACTACTATTACTAACATTAACTTAACTAAATTAATTGACTACTAATAATAAAAATTAGCTAATATTACTAACATTAATTTAACTAAATTAATTAACTACCAATAATAAAATTAATTTAATTAAATAATATTATTAAAATGAAATTATACCCAATATATTGTTGCCGGACTTTTTGGTTAACCGGAAATGGAGGTTGGTGGCCGGAGAGGAGGGTGGCGATGGCGGATCGACTGCGACAGCAAGGTGCGGCGGTGGCGCACGGTGGCTGGGTGGCGCGATCACCTGCTGTCTCGCCAGAAATGAAGACGCAGGCGCAGTGAAGGGAAAAAGGAAAGAAAGAAAGAAAAGAAAGAGAAAAAAGGAAAGAAAAGAAAGAAAAGAAGAAGAGAAGAGAGAAGAAGAAGAAAAAGAAAAAATAGAAGAGAGGGAGGAGGAGGCGCTGCTGTGATGGTGAGAGGAGTAGAAGAGGTGCAGCGCTGGAGAATAAAAAAAAAACAAAAAAGAAAGGGAATTTCTTAGATGGTTTTGGGGTTGAAACGGGTTCGATTCGCCTAAATCATCGATTTTCCAATTGGTTTTTTGACTTTTCAATCGGTTTTTTGATTCGATTTCTCGTAGTAGTTGCCACTAAAAAATATTAATATTAATTTCAGGCTGTCCGGGTTCATTAAATTTAATTTGGAAAAATTTTGAATATAAAAATTCAATAAAAATTCGGATTGTTTCAGTCTTCCCCCCTTAAAAAAAATTCGTCCTCGAATTTTGAAAATAACAAGAACTAGGATGCAACAATTGTTTACGACAATGATGGCTGTACTTCTCACATAATGTTGTTGAGCAGATAGAAGGATGAATCAAGAATATGAGATAAATATTTTTGAGTTCGTTAGTCAGACCGGTGGAACTAATTTTATTAAATTTATGAAGACAAACGAATGAGAAGAAAATCTAATTTATAGGGAGGGTAGGATGATTATGAGATGAATCTATCCCCAAAGTCTAGATATCTACCTTATCACCAAAGTTAATTCAAACTTGAGTTGTATTATATCTACAAGTCGATACTATGTCTACAAGTTGTCCCCTCAAGTCAAATATTCATAACTTAAAGCACAGATTCGACACTAATATTCACCTTTACACGTAAGAATTTCATTCACTTATAACATCTGCTCAAGTAAGGGTTATTGATCTCATTACCTCTATATCATGTGTCCTTACATATTCATAACCCAAGGCACAGATTCGACACTAATATTCACCTCCACACGTAAGAATTTAAGTCCCTTATAACCTCTGCTCAAGTAAGGGTTATTCATTTCATTAGCTATATATCATGTGACCTACATTGATGTATCGCCTCATTTATCTCTCACTAG